AACAAGCGTCTACCCATGAGCTTTTGCATTTTTAGTGTGTTGTTATCGTCACTACTTGGGACTCAATTCCAGCGTGTGCGCAGGTGACGACTCTCCCACTTTAACACAAGTCATTGAAAATCACACAGTCCCCGTTAAATTTTTGAAAATTCCCTTTGTGCTCGTCATATTAAAGCGAAGGGGTTGTCGCGAGCGTATCCTTGAAAAGTGGGTTCCAAGTGGCGTATACAACAGATTGTTTATTTATATCAAAACACGTGTTCCGTGTAGTAGTAATATGGCCAAAAATAAAAACAGTTGTTATTCGGCCATCTTTTGATCTGATTATGAAACACACTGATAAGTATGATGTATGTGCCAAATACGAATGAAGATACATAAATTGTGGAAATATAGTAGTAAGGCCAAAAAGTCAGAAAGCTGTCAATTGGACATGCATCCTAACATGTATAAAGTACATGTATGTGCCAAATTTGAATGAAAACTGACAGAGCACGTCCAAGATACCGCATAAAAAACAAGATGCCTGCCAGTCGGCCATCTTTGATCCAATTGCGAAATAAATCGTCATGGACATGTATCTTAACATGTATAATCTATGTACCAAGTTTGAATGACAACTGACAAAGCAAGTCCAAAATACAACATTTCCAAAAAAACAAGATGGCTGCCAGTCGGCCATTTTGAATCGAATCACTAAACCAATTCATGTGCATATGTCCCACATAATGTACTAGGCACATGCAAAGAATGAACGGAATCGGTCAGCAGGATTCTGAAATACAACTCTGGACAGATTGACACACGGACGGACGGACGGACAGATAGACTCTGGAACTTGCGGACGGTCAGAGACATGAATCCTAACATGTATGATCTATGTATTAAATTTGAATGAAAACTGACAAAGCATGTCCAAAATACAACATTTCCAAAAAACAAGATGGCTGCCAGTCGGCCATTTTGAATCGAATCACTAAACCACTGCATGTGCATATGTCCCACATAATGTACTAGGCACATGCAAAGAATGAACGGAATCGGTCCGCAGGATTCTGAAATATGACTCTGGACAGATTGACACACGGACGGACGGACGGACGGACAGACAGACAGACTCTGGAACTTGCGGACGGTCAGAGACATGTATCCTAACATGTATGATCTATGTATTAAATTTGAATGAAAACTGACAAAGCATGTCCAAAATACAACATTTTAAAAAAACAAGATGGCTGCCAGTCGGCCATTTTGAATCGAATCGCTAAACCCCTGCATGTGCATATGTCTCACATAAAGTACTAGGCACATGCAAAGAATGAACAGAATCGGCCCATAGGATTCTGACGCACGGACGGAGACCGAATTATAAGTCCTCGTTTTCGGACTTCGTCCGAACAGGGACTAATAATAATAATAAGGTCTTTGCTGTTACTCAACAAGTACTGGGAACATCTGTTATTCCAATTGGGAATTTCATATTTAACAAGCAGCCTATCGGCTGAGATAGCTCCGCTGTTAGCAATGCACATTTCAATTAAAGAAGTGAAGACATCATTAGAAAATGAACAATATGAATAGTATCAAAGCAATCGGACTTACAGTTTTTAACAAGAAGTCAAAAATATCACTTTTTACCAAAAATGACAAAAATATTCACCAAAATTAGAGAATTGAAGATATCACAAAATGAACAAATCTGAGAGAGGTCCACATGTAGTACCTATATATGTAATATCAAAGCAATCGAACTTGCGGTTTTTAACAAGAAGTCAAAAATATCACTTTTTACCAAAAATGACAAAAATATTCACCAAAATTAGAGAATTGAAGATATCATCACGAAATAAACAAATCTGAGAGAGGTCCACATGTAGTACCTATATATGTAGTATCAAAGCAATTGGACTTGCGGTTTTTAACAAGAAGTCGAAAATATCACTTTTCACCAAAAAATGACAAAAATATTCACCAAAATTAGAGAATTAAAGATATCATTACAAAATGAACAAATCTGAGAGAGGTCCACATGTAGTACCTATATATGTAATATCAAAGCATTTGCACTTGCGGTTTTTAACAAGAAGTCGAAAATATCAGTTTTTACCAAAAATGACAAAAATATTCACCAAAATTAGAGAATTAAAGATATCATTACAAAATGAACAAATCTGAG